AGAGGTACACCTGCCTGTGGTCTGCTGGGTGACAGCCTTGTGACCCTTTCACCCCTGGGTCCCGGTTTGGGAGAGAGCAGGAATCAGACATGCCACATTGAGTTTCTGGGAAGAGCCGTGCACCAGACAGCGGAGAGTCCCCGGAAGTGGAAGCAAAGGCTTTCTTGCTGGCAGTGTGACCCGGGGACAGTACTGCCTTGGCTTGTCAGCATTGGGTCCAGGCACGTCCTGTCCTTCACCCTCTGCCTCTCTCTTCTGAGTCCTTGGCTGAAGTTTCCTGGATCTCTTTCCCTCTGTGGTTTCCCAGCCCGGATTCATGTTTGTGCTTGAGGGGTTGGGCTCCTCAAGTAGCTGGGGTCCTCCTGCGGCTTCAAACAAGGTATGAGGCCGGCTTGGATATTACAGTCCCACCACCATGCAAGACTGACGCAGACAGCATACCAATCCTACCCCCAGCTGCGCACGCACGCACGCACGCACGCACGCACGCACGCACGCACGCAAGCCGTGCGCACCACACACACAAACTGAGATCTAGAAGGGGCCATCCTTGGCTTGGGGAAGAGGCCACTTTGTGGTCCCAAAGGGCAGAGGGGTAATCTGGTGGGGACTACTTAACCCAAGTCCGGTCCTCTGGCCATTCCTGCGTAACTAATTCTGTGGTGCCAGCCAGGACAGGAACAGGCTTGCTAGATTCAGAAATTGGTCATTGTCACAGAAAGGGAAATGTACATCCTACTCTTACTAGGATGACCCTGGCCTGCCCTGCACGCCTGCTCTGTGCCCCTAGCCCTCCGTGGGTTCTCCGAGCCAGTGGCATTTTAGAGGAAGGGTCTCCGGTTCTGCGTGCTCAGGCCCAGAACCCCAGTCCCTGCTAATGCTCCGTTTCCCTTAACTGACCCAGAGGAACCAAACACTCCCTCCACAAAGGGGACCTTTGCCTGCCGGTCTGGAGGAAATGTGAGGAGAAGGCTGGGCATGGCCCATGTCCACACTGGGACTTGGTGTTGTTTGGGGTTGGTTTTTCTGGAGACAGTCTCCCCCACACCCACCCCCATGCAGAGATTAAAGGCATGCACCACTATGCCTTCATTTTGGAGAGACTAAGGTTAGAACTCAGAATTTTACCTTTGCTAGACCAGGATTCTACCTCTGAGCAACATCCCAAGCCAACCCCCCCCCCACCTGCTCCCCTACAAAAGCACTGGCAGGGACTCAACATCTGCCTGCCCTGAGTAGGCAGAGTCCTAAGACCTCAAGTGAGTCAGAATCTAACCCTGAGGGCTCTCTGCAATGGGAAAACACACCACCCCCAGGCTGCAGGGTGATTCCTTTGGTGAAATGGTTTAGAAAATGTGAACACCCTATTCCTCTTCCCCACACCCAAACCAAAAAGTAATAATAATAATAATAATAAAAGTTTATCTGGGGTTTCCTTGAAGACTGAATTACGGGAGTGGGTGTGAGAGCTTGAGTGTGAAGCCAGGCCTTTCTGACTGCACAGATTAAATACACTGGCAGCCTGAACTCCTGTAGTCCTTCTCCAGGGCGGTCCAGGGAGCCTAAGGCCTGCCCACCAAGCCTCCTTCAGGAAGATAAATCCTGCAGCCCCGATTGTGCAAAGACCTCCACACTTGAGCTTGGGGCAGGCGGATGTGCAGGTGGGGTAGGGGTGTTAGAGAAAGGCATTTACAGGAGAAAGGGCTCAGAGGTGAGGGGTCACAGGTCATTGCCCTCCTCTGAGGTGAGGGGTCACAGGTCATTGCCCTCCTCTGAGCCCTATAGCCCGCACTTCCCATCTCCCTGACGTGCCCCTCCCCCAGCTCCCTAGGCCACCTCTCCTCATCAGAAAGGGGCCTGGGCCCAGTCAGGATCAACTAAAGTAGGCAGAGTCCTGTTGGAAAATCTGACTCTATCAGTAAAGTATACTTATTATACAGGGTTTTTTTGTTTGTTTTTGTTTTTGTTTTTTTGTTTTGTTTTGTTTTTGTCTCAGGTAGTACAGGCTATCCTTGAACTCACTGTGTAGCTAAGGATGACTTTGAATTTCTGATCCTCCCACCTCTAAGGAATGCTGGAATTACAGGCATGTGATACCAGGCCCAATTTTATGGTACTAGGAATTGAACCTAAGACCTGCATGCTAGGCAAACACTATATTAAATGAGCTGTATCCCCAGGCCCCCAGAAATAGTCCCTTTCTTTTTCAAAAAAGATTTGTATTACTTATTTAAAATATTATTTATTTTATTATTATTTTGTTGTTGTTTTTTGTTTTTCGAGACAAGGGTTTCTCTGTATTGCTTTTGAGGCTGTCCTGGAACTAGCTCTTGTAGACCAGGCTGGCCTCGAACTCACAAAGATCCTCCTGCCTCTCTCCCGAGTGCTGGTGAGTGCCACCACACTTTTTCCTTCTTCCCATCCCTTTCCTGTACTACCCATGACCTTGCTTCCCCTCAACCTCATGGTCTCTTTTTCTTTGTTATTACAAATATGTTCCTATTTATTTATTGAGACTGGGTCACGCTGGGTAGCCCTGAGTAATCTGACTCACTAGGCCAGACTGGCCTCAAACTCACAGAAATGCATCTATCTGCCTCTGTCTTCCATGAATGCTGTTATTAATGCATGTACCATCACATCCCTCAGATTCTGCCTATTTTTGATTGTGTACATATGTGTGTATGGGGTATGTGCGCATACAGTGTGCACGGTCAAGGAAGCCAGAGACATCGGAATCCCCTGGAGCTGGAGCTACAGGTGGTTGTGAGCCTTCCAACTGGTGTTGGCAGCTGCCATCCTCTCCAGCCACCCCTCCACCCCCGCACATATTTGAAAGTGGAAGAAAGAGGATGTGGGCTAAGGATGCAGCTCAGGGGAAGAGAGTGTGCTTCACTTACTTCTGAGTTTAGTCTCTAGCAGGCATGTACGTGCACAAACACACACGCACAGCAACCACACGCACACGCACATCAACCACACACACACTCGCACACACATGCACACACACGCACACACAGCAACCACACACACACTCATATACACACACACACACACACACATGCTCGCACACACCAACCACACAGTATGGAGAACAGCAAAAAGAATATGAAAGACACATCTTGCAATCTTTTGTCCCAGAAAGGCGGTGCATACTGGTGTGTTCAGCCCACACCAGATACTGCTACCCTGGGTCACCAGCACCCCAAGGACCTCTAATCAGCCTCCCACAACCCCACACTCCTCAGTCTCTCTTCAGCCTGCCCTCTCCCTTACTCCCCTCCAAGCCCAGCTAACTGCCTGGCTGAGCAGCCCTGCCTCCTCGCCAGGCCCGCCTGCCTCCTGCGTCAGCCCCAGGGTCTGTCTGGTGCTGTAATCTACTGCCTCTGCCTCCTTAGGGCCATTTTTGCCTCAGCCCTTCTCTCCGGCTTAGTCACTTCCTCCCTGCAGCCCCTACCACGCTCTGTCCAGAAGCAGAAGGACTCCTGAGGCTCCTTCTCACTCTGAGTAGAAGCTCTTAGTCAAGTTGAGATGCACAGGCCTGAGCCTGTAGAACGAAGGGGTCTCTGAATTCCTTAGGGCTCTCTATTTAATGCTGGATGGCCAGCAGTACTCAGCCCAGGGAGGGGGTGGGGGGGCAGGTAGAGCCCAGTTCGGAAAGCTTGGATGTTGCCCGCCCACCCCACGATGGCCTGTCTCCGTACCCCCCACCCCCCAGTCCATCAGTCTGTGGAGTCAGGTCTCCTGGAGGCTTTGGCTATTCTGCTGATGTCTTTCCTAAGCAAGGCAATGCTGCTGCAGGGAGCCCAGGTGGCATTTCTCCCCAGGAGACATTGGTCTTAGTGCACAGGCCAAGTTGAGTGTCTTCAGAAGCGGCTCTAGGGAAGGTTCTTGGTCCCTGCAAAAATGATGCAGTTGTTTCTTGGCCACCATCTGGCTATCCAAAAGGACAGGAGTAGCGGGACGTTGGAGGCGCACGCCTTTGATCCCAGCACTCGGGAGGCAGAGGCTGGCAGATCTCTGTGAGTTCGAGGCCAGCCTGGTCTACAGTGCGAGTTCAGGACAGTCAAGGCTACACAGAGAAACCCTGTCTCACAAAAGCAAGGAGAACAAAGCTAAGAGCAGGCTGCTGGTGTCAGTAACCCTCCATCTATCAGGAACCTCATAGTTCATTTTCTTTGCTAGCAGGCAGAAATTCCCTAGATGAATACCTCCAGTAGAGAGTCCAAGGGTGTCACATGCCTGTCCCTTCTGGCCCTTGTTCTAATTCTCTTGTTTTTCTTTTTGTCTCTTTTTTGTGTTCATTGTTGCTGTATGTTTTCTTGACGGGGGGGGGGGGGGGGAGCGGTCTTCCTATGTAGCCTTGGCTGGCCTTGAACTTACGGTCTTCCTGCTTTAGCTTCGAAGTTAGGGATTACCTGGACTTTGCTGTGGTTTTTATCTCTGAAGTGGTGGCAAGAGTGAGGGCGGACGTGGGGGGGAAGGTATGAAGATATTCACCCCATACTGTTCCCACTGGCCTCCCTTCCCTCGCCAGCTTCCTGTCTGTAGTCAGGACTGATGTCAGACAGTGCTCCGTTGGGTTTGGACGTTGCTTATCCACTGTGGGGCACGTTTCCAAGGTGGGGGCTTAGAGGTTGCACTTGGGACAGCTTCACCTCAGTCACTGAGCACAGGCCTAGGTGACTCAGCAAACAGCTGTGCAGGGGTCGGAGTGCACAGACCCTCTGGGCTCTCATTTCTGGAGCCTTGGCGGTGGTATGGCTTTCTAGGTGGCAGACATTTGGGGGTAATTGTTAGTTCCAAGGAATGTGGGCACAGCCTACTGGGACAATGACGGCTCTAAGACAACGAGGCCAAGTTGTGTCCATGCAGGCCTTCCTTGAAGGTGCTTTTCTGGAAGCTGTTGTATGCTGAGAGCGAGGCCCTTCACAGGCTCCATGGAGTTAAGAAAGCGCCCTTGCTGTGTTCTCTCTCTCTCTCTCTCTCTCTCTCTCTAGGTCTGCTATCTGTGCCACAGCCTCCTGACACTGGCTGGGGTGGTGGTCAGTAGCCAGGATATCACTCCAGATCAATGGGTGAGTCTCCCAAGATTCTGGAGCAGGGAAGGGTTGGGTACCCAGTGGTATCCACTGCTTGAAGCAATGTGGGACCTCAGCGGCCAGGATGGAGCCAGCCTTCCATCAGGAACTGTAGAGTGGAGAGGGCTGCCAGGGCCTCTTCCGCCCACCCTGTCCCAAGAGCCATTCCCAAGGGATGCTGACCTGTCCCCTAGGAGCTGCCCTCCCCCCTCCCTTTCCTGCCCCGCTTCCCAGCAGCCACTCAGAGACCTCTCCCCTGCTGCCTTAGTCCTCCTTGCCCTGGCCTCCAGAGTCTGCCTGGCGTATGACAGGCCCCCTCCTCCTCTGCAGGGCGAGCTGCAGCTGTTATGCATGCAGTTGGACCGCCACATCAGCACCCATATCCGGGAGAGCCCCCAGGCCATGCACCGGACCAAACTCAAGGACCTAGCCACCCAGACCTACATCCGCTGGCAGGACCTGCTGGCTCACTGTCAGCCCCAGGTGCTGCCCCACGCTGCCCTAGTCCTGGGAGGGAAGGGAAGTAGCCTGTCAGGGGGCTTGGCAGGCCCAGCGGCACACCCCCCCCTGAAGCTGCTGTACTCCACAGGGACAGGGTGGAGTGGGCAGTGTGGTGAAGGGTGGGGATGTCTCAGGGGACCTTCGTTCTTAATCCAGGACCCAGGGAGGGGATGCAGAAGGGGACACAGGGAGGCCTGTTCGTGAACTAATGCAGAGAAACTCAGCCCTCATGCGCAGTCGTGAACAGCCAGGAAGGGACGCCCGCCGGAGGCAACAGCTGTCCACCCCCTGTCCACTTGTCCTGTAGACCTCAGCTGGCTTCGCGCTTTGTTAAGAGCATTTCCCAGGCCGCTCTGTTTTGTTTTGTTTTGTGGGGGGGGGGGCGGCTCCTTCATGCTAAGCAATGCCTTGCCACACCTCACAGCCACAGCACACACTCTCATTCTGTATGAGCAAGCTCTGTTCTTGGAACTATCTCAGCTCATCTAGGTAGTAATATTTAGCTACAGAGTGAAGACCCTTTTCTTCGGGAGCCTGAAGAGCCCTCAGGAGGCAGGGATTGTTACAAGTCCATTTCACAGATGAGCAAACTAGAGGTTCCAGAGGGTCAGTGGCTTGCCCCGTCATGTAAGCTTCGAGTGAGTGCGAACATTTGGGTTCACAGCCAGCCTCGGTCCTTGGCACAAAGCAGTCCCCATCTGCACACTCCCTTCCACACCCCATTTCTCCAATACCCATGTCCTGCTGGCTGGCCCTGAGCCCCTCAGCCCTTAATGGAGACAGCTGGACTTTGTGTTCCCAGCATGCCTGTCCCTGACTCCTCCCTTACAATTCCCTCTAACCCTGACTTGAGGCTGACACACTGGCCATAGGCTGTTACTTGGTGTTTAGATTCCCAAGTCCCTGAGAAACAGAAGACTGGAACTCAGCCCTTCCCCTGATCCTCTGGTCTCTGGCAGGAAACACTGCTTGTCATAAAGAGGAGGCAAGGTGATTGGAGCCTGGCCGGGCGTGTGCGCAGACACCATCTTCCTCCCTTATCCCTTGGGCCATTAGTGGTAGGAGATAACACCTGGCTGAGCCTTCTAGGCACTTCAGTCAGGTAGCCTGCTGACCTACTGCATCTGGTCTCTGAGCCTGAAGAGTCTTAGTGCCACAGCACCTGGTGTGAAAGACGCCTCTCTGTGGATGGGAATGGACGCCACCGATATGGGCCTGTGCACAGAGGGCAGTTCTGGGCTAGGCCATTACAGACTGCTTTTCTTTCCTTCGCAGGGCCAGTACTTCAGCCCCTGGAAAGACATTTAAAGCGATAAGGGCAGAGTGGCCCAAGGCTCTGGACTCCAGCAAGGAGAGAACTATAGGAGGCTGAAGCCTAGGAAGCGAGAGACTACTGCCACTAGGGCCCTCGCCCCCCCCCCCCCGGCCACCCCACCCTTGAACTCCCCTGACTGCTCAGCCCTCTCTTCTATCCTGGGGCCTCGTCTCTATAGCTCTGGCTTCCTGGGTCGTCCTGGGCCGTCCTTGTTGGTCACTGCCCCCACCCCACCCTCTCTGTCCATCACTAATATGGGTTCCTTTGTGCCCATTAAAGTCTTGTTTTGGTATCAGCGGTTTCCTTCCTTACCCCCTGTCCTGGGGCCTCACCTCTGCTTGACTGCTGGTCTCACCTCTGACAGTCATGTGACTGGGGCCTAGGACCCACCTCCTGCACTTGAGCGGTCACCCCTGCGAACAGAGTTGCTGGAGCCTGGGCACTCTTGGATGAAGAACATTTGTGTGGGTCCTGCCTGGGACTACTCCGCCCCTTCTAGGGATGCTATACAGAGAGGATGGGGATCAGGGCTGTAATTACGATTAATTCAACTTATCCTTGAGCTCTGAAATCAACTCCTTAGACTTAGGAGTGGGGGTGGATGCTTGTATTCCTTTCCCTGGCCTTGCCCCCGGGTCAGTTGGTCCTGATCTCTAACTGTATAAGTGGATGTCTTTGACCTGCATTCCTGGAGGAGTGACTGGGCCCTTTTGTAGCTCCGGGAGCAAGCCCCTAGCCCCTGTTTACTTTCTTATCTGTTCACTCCTCTGACAAAATCCATGCTCATCTCTGGTCCCCTCTACACTTCCAGAGCTAGAGTGAGCTTTGCTGCAGGTATAAGAGGTGCCAGGAGGTGGCAGAGGATAAGTCCATGCCTCAGCTGGTGATGGCCGGTCGCACGCAGTTTTCTCTGTTTATGTGCTCCAGGGTTAGGGACTGACTAGGAAGGAGATATAGACACTCAAAAAGAACATACCTGAAGTCAAGACCCCATACCTCCCTAGGTCTGTTTCTGACACAGTCACCTCCCTCTCTGGGTCCCCAGAAGGCCAGGAGCTAGAGACATCTATTATTTAGTGACAAGGCATGGGCTCTGTGCAGCACTGGGTACCACAGAGGACATCGTTTCTGTCACAGCCTCTGCCAAATGAGAAGTGGAAGAAACCCGTCCACAGCCAGGTGACTTGACTGATAGCTCTGGCTTCTTCTCTTCCTGGCTGCATCACAACCCTCTTTGGCATACCCTCCCACCCCAGCAGCAGCAAGCAGGCCAGCCTCAGGTCTCTGAGAGGAGGCTCTGGAGAGCCAGCCCTTTTCACCCTGCCTCTGGGCACCCCTGCTGGACACAGTACATCCTGACCGTTCATCCTCGCTAACTGGGTTAGCTCTGGAAACCTGGAAATCACCTTGAAATTTCCCTCTCTTGTTCTCATTGCCAAGGGAAGAGGGGTGGGTAGGCTGAACTGGGGGATTTCCAGTTCTTGAAGCTGCCCTTACCTGGTTTTAAGAAAAGGGATCTAGGTGTCCATCAATGCAGGCATCTGAAATCCTCCCCAGCTCCTTACTCCCCAAACATACTCATTCCTGAGAGAAATAGATACAGGGGAGAGGAGGCAGGCCTTGGTGACAACTCAGTCCCATCCAGAAGCCTGGCTGCAACCTGAGCAGAGGTATGCAATGTGAGGTCACTCAAGGGTGGACACTGTCCCCTGGGTCATGTAAGTGTCCTATTCTGGGACGGACTGGGAGCTGACCAGTCCTAAAACTGGGTTGGGATCAATCAGAAACGGAGCCTCTTGAAGGCCACGAATTCTGGAATGAAGCTGGCTGTTTTACCATTTGCCCTCCAGGTCTCTGATCCTAAGCTCCTGGGAGAAGGCAAGGGATATCCTGATAGAAGCCACTGGAAAAGCAGTATCCTGGGCTGCGATGACAGATGTTTTCCTGCTTCCTTTTGGAAGGGAGGGGCTGGGAAGGGAAAGGCTTCCCAGGTGGACAGCTTTGATAACTCTCCTTTGGAGGAAGTAGACCGGGAAGTCCCTTTCCTACGTCACAGTCCCTGGGTGGCAGTGGTCAGAGCGCTCCTTGAGACATGGCTGACCCTGGTCCTTTCACGGTCCCACCTGTGGGGAGACGTGGGCTCCTGGCTACCTTGGAAATGGTCCCGGGCCAAGGAGGCCTTGACTCGAGTCCCTAGTGTACACTGTACACCTTCCTTTCACTAGTTAGCTGGGAAAGGCTACTATGACCAGTATTGGGTTTCCATAAGGATGGGCTTGAACTCAGTGGGACATTTGACGTGTCTGCTTGATCACAAGCATTTAAGCTCTGGCCAAAGGGGCATTAAGGGGGTCTGGCCTGTCAGGCTCCAATGAGGATTAGTGTGCTGCCTTCCCTAGGCTGTGCTAGGCAGGCCTAGGGAGATTATACAGATAGATGTCCTTATCTTTTTTTTCCTTGATGGAAGGTCCAGGATCCTTATTTTTCTGCCAGCTGTCCTTTTATTAAAAAGCATGAATCATGAACAAGTAGTCATTGGAAGAAACTTTGTCTTTTGCCCACCCACCTGTGGGGAAGACCGGAGGTAGTAAATAGAGGTGGTAAATAGAGCATGGCAGGCAGGAGTGTGCAGAGGTAGCTTGTCCCGGGGATGGGGATGGGGATGGGGATGAGGGGGGGGAACCCTATTGATGAGGAGCCCAGTGGGGAGGGGCTCCCCGGCGCTGTTACTGGAGCAGTCTGGTCTTATTTCCACTCCATCCCTGGCTTAGAAGACCCTAATGCCTGCCATGAAGGTACAAAATACTGTCCCTGCCAGTGAAACCAAAACCTTGTGAAACTTTCCACCGGAGCCACCTTGGAGGCAGAGCCAGGGAGCTCAGATCACTACTGAGCCGTCCTTATTCCTGGGGGCAAGACTTAAGGGTGAGAGAGAGGAAAACAACAGACAATGGAACGTTAGCTTTTGTGCATGGTGACTGTTAGAAAGACAGAAATTGGAATCACAGAACTCAACTTTTTTTTTTTTTTTTGAAACAGTCTCAGTAGGGTGCCAAGGTGGGTGTGAACTGAAGGGCTCGCTGTTTTCCTAACTCAGCCTCCCCAAGCAACTATAGATTCCTGCCATCACTCCAAGACCTCATTCAAAAATTTTACCTTGCTGTTTATGTGAATTTGAGCCAGTTTTAGATCTTGCTTAATCTTTCTGATAAAATGAGAGAGACAGTCGATGGCTGGCTTAGAAGTCCTGCTTCAGCCTCCCAGGGCCGAGGATACTCAGCTTTTACGGTGTCCTGAGCACATCAGAAAATTTGACAGCTGGCTACAAAATGAGTGCACAGAACAACAGAGCAAAGGCTAGCTGTGTAGCAGCTTATGCTTATTGAGATGGAAACCCAGTGTGAGCCAGAGGAGGGACCTGCATGTCTCCCTCGATGGCCAGCTCCAACCGGACTTTCCCTGCCCGTCCCTGGCAGTACCTGGCTTGCCTTCTGTCTCCAGCATCTCCAGAGCTGCAGCTTTGTTTCCTAATGGAAAGGAGCTGGGAAGTGTGGCCCTGGACAGCGGGGGAGAAGGGGCCCTTCTGTGTCCTAGCAAAGACACAATTGTTACTGAAACCAGACTGGGCTGCCTTTCTTAGCTATCCACACTGCTCTCCACTTTTCAGATGCCAAGTTTTAACCCAGAACAAAAGCCTCTGTCGGACTGACTTATACTCCAGATCTGCTGATGGGATCTCACGCGTTTCTCCCCTCTAGAACTGTCCCTGGGGCTTAAAGTTACCACAGAATCTTCAGGCCTTTACTCTTCCCTTTTTCCCCCGTTCTTTGAGCCTGGCTAGGGGTGGTCTGCAGGTACCTGGTGGAGCAGCTTCCCCGAGATTCTCTGCTGCCTAGCTTGAGGGCCAGCTGGCTGGCAGGAGGACTTGCCATCCAGCAGGGCCCAGGAGGCCAAAGCGACAAGTTATCTAGGAGCGACAGTGGGCGGAGGCTGGCAGTTCTGAAGGTGGTAGTGGTTGTCCACACAGCTCCCTTCAGCTCCTTTCATCTGAACAAGTGGCACTAGGAGTCATTTCCTGGTGGTAGGTTCTGCTGGAGCCGGAAAACTAGGAGTTGCCTGGAGACTTGTGTGTGTGTGTGTGTGGGGTCTTCTCTGCCTATTAGTTAGCTGCTCCTTCCAGCCCAAGGGTTAGAGCCAGAAAGGAGGACTCTGGAGCCAACAGGCTGACCACTGTGGTTAATTAACCCCTGAGAGAGCCATCGGTTTCCTCCGTTGCTTCCCTCCCTTCGGATACGCATCCCAAAATGGCTCGGCACCTTTCGTTCCTGTAACTGGAGCTTGGGGGGAGCCCCTCAGCCCTTCCTGAGCCCAGCCCGCCCGCAGGGCTTGAAGGCACACTTCGGGAAGACCAGGTGAGTGCGGTTCCCGGTGGCGACGCCTGGAGTCCCTCCCCGCGCCCCTCCCTCGCCGGCGCCGCGGCGTAGACCTTGACTCCCCGGCGGCTAGAGTCCTAGAGTCGCCAGGGTCCCAAAGCCTCCGAGCTGGACGAGCACGGCAGCGGGTCGCAGCCCCCTTCTTGGGCGGGTCTTAGCGTCCCGCCCCCGGCCACCACTCGCCACCCTCCTCGCCTGACGTCAGAGGGTTGGGGGCGGAGAGCAGCGGCAGCAGCGGAGAAAGAGCCGGCGCCCGGCGCGGTGGAGCACGGACCCCGAGCTCTGGGGCGCCGAGAGCGGTGCTGGGGCAGAGGGGTGGTGGCGCCGGAGCCTAGGCGTGCTGGCGGGCGCACGCGGGCTGGAGCGGGGCGGGTGTGGAGGAGGACCGTGGCCGGAGCCGAACGCGAGGGCGGCGCCCAGGGATTGGAGCTGCACGACAGAGGTGAGTGAGGCCGGAGCCCTGGGGCCCTGGAGCTGCCGCTTTGTCCCCTTGACTCGGGTAGGTGCTGGCGTGCGCACGAGGGGACCCGTCTGGGGGTGCAGGGCGGGGCGGCAGCGCGGACAGCTGTCCGATCCGGGTCCCTCTCAAGCCCTCCGCGGGCTGCCCAGCGGACGATCAGCAAGCAGCAAGGCAAGCAATGTCTGCAGCTCCAGTGGCCGGAGAGGCGGGCGCCTTAGGGTGTGGAGCCAGGGGCAGTGGGAGACCCCCGGGCTGTCCGGCGCGCAGTCCGGATTTCTGCCAGGTTCGCGAACTGCTCCGGTTCCCCCACCTCGACGGAAAGTTCGGGGCGGGCTTGGACCGTGGCCGATGTTGTGGGATCGGATTTCCCTAGCGCGGCCCCCCGCCCTCCCGTTCTGCTGGGGAGGCGGGCTAGCACTGAGAACCAACCCACACTCTTCGGAGCTCGGCCGCCCGGTCCCGCGCTCCAGCGCCGCGATCCACGATCGGCTGGCTGCTCCGGGTGTGCAAGTGTGGGGCGCAATCCTGGCCCTGCACCCCTCCATCCCCCTGGCTGTCCGTGTCCCTTGCCTTGGAAAGAGCTGGGGGTTGGGTCACGGTACGCGGGCGGATTCTCGGAGCACGCCACCGGGTTGTGACCCCAGCGTAGGGTAATTGGCAGAGGGGAAGCTGAGGGTGTGTCAGGGGGACTGCCCCGGGAAAGGCAGCCCCCCCCCCACGCCTTCCCGCGCAGGGGTTCGGGGCCGACAGGGGGCGTCCGCAAGCCAGGTTTTGCCACGCTCCCACTGCTGCCGCTTTGTTTGCATTCAAATCCCCGGAGCTGGGGGAGGGGAGAGCCCACGGTAGGAAGACTTGGACCGGGTCTTGGCATGGAACCTTTGTTTTGGGTGAAATCCCAAGATTCTGCGTCTCTGTTATCGGCCCCGAACGTCTGGATTAGTGGAAACCAGCCCCTCTGGCCTAGTGCCTAGGCCGGGGTCCCCGGGGGTCAATCTCCGAGTTAGGAACGTTCGTCAGAGCCAGGGGGAGCGCAGCCCTCGAGGGCCATTCGTGGGCATATCATGTGCTCCAGGAGAAACCCCCTTAGGCCTCCCAAACCCATTTCACGGCCCCGCTCCCGCCGCGGTGAGGAGATCCCCATAAGCCCGGAGCCTGCTCGTTGCCCGACCGCCTCTCGGATGGAGGGTCGGTGTCTCCGAAGGCTGTTGGAAGAACAGGACTGGCCCTGGTCGTTTCCACGCCCATCCCACCCACTTCCTGCCTCCCTCTTGGGCAACAAAGGGGCCTCGGGAAGCTGGGCCCTTTTGGTTCCCGGCCCCACTCCTACTCCAGCCCTGCTGATGTGGAACCGGGTTTGGGCTCAGCCCGGCTATTGTCTGCGCTGGGGGAGGGGACAGGCTGGGGCCGGGAACTCTGCACGTAGCCTGCATCAAGTCCCCCATTGGGGGTCTTGGCTCTACCTACCGCCTGCCTGCTCTGCCGAATAAGGAAGGGGTATACCTCCCCAAATTAGGTCTTGGGGTTGGCCGGAGCCCAGGTAGCAGGTCCTGTTTCTTAAGATGATTCTAAAATCTTAGAAATGAAGGAAGGACAGGAGGGGAGTCCCTTTCTTATTTTTACTACACAACTCCCTGTTGAAGAGAGGGAGTAGGGATGGCCTGGAGGCCATAGAAGGCTCTTTGATGACTGCCCACGCCTACTGCTTGCTGACTCAGCTCCTCCCTTTGCTCCTCCGGGAGACCCCCGGGGCCCCTGGGAGGCAGAGGCCAGTTGCAGAAACTAGGTCTGTTCCAAAAAAGGGGAGCAGGGGGAGATCCAGGAGCTCCGGGGGAGTTGTGTTCAAGTGTGCGCCCTGCGCTGCCGGTCTCTTGGTGCGGGCCCTCTTCCGGTCTGTGATGCTGACCAGTTTCTTTTCCTTCAGCAGGACTGCTGGACTGAAGTTTAGAGCCGGGGTGTTTGCCATGGCCCCGCACTGGGCTGTCTGGCTGACGGCAGCAGGGCTTTGGGGTCTGGGCATTGGGGCTGAGGTGTGGTGGAACCTGGTGCCCCGGAAGACAGTATCTTCTGGGGGTGAGTACCTGAAGCATGGGAGGCGGGGCCAGAGGGAGGCAGGATTGGATGCTGGGGGAAGAAGGGGATGATGCTTGCTGAGGAATTACCCCCGAGCATGCACCTTTATACTGATATGTGTGGTTGTGGCTTTCTAAGAAATGCGAGTGGCCCCAGGGACCCAGAACCGGCAGGGCAGGTGGAGACCTGGGATTTGCCCCCATCTGACACCAGAATAACTCTGTGCAATCTCTCATCGCCCCCCACCCCCGACCCACACCTGACTGTCTTGGTGTGCAAGGGAGGTAGTTTCTGAGTCACCCTCACCGTTCCTCACTAGAATTGTCATTAGTGCTTGGAAGCCTAGAGAAAGAAACCTGAACCCTGGGGCAAGTGTAAGTCTAACCCCATCTCCAGTCTCTCTAGCTGTCTGTCCCTAGAAGCCCCTTAACTCACCCAATGGTCCTCCCCTGCGGCCACAGCACTGGAGCTGTCTGGTGGTTCTAGGTGGGTGTATATACGTGCTTGTGCTTAACGGGGAAAGGAGGCAGAGCTGAACAGAGCGAGCTTGCACACACACCTGTATGAAGAGGTGATGTCAGGTGTTTGTACCATTTGGGCTCTTGGGACATGGGATGATCTCACCTCCCACAGGCTGCACTCAGCGGCAAAGGAGCCCCTCCCATGCCGACCCAGCTCTGGCTGCTCATTGCCTCCAAGACTGAGGCTGACTTAAGTGTGGACCCTGTCTGTGGCCAGGTGGCCAGGAATATGGGCTTCTGACAGATCACATGACTATGTGTATGATAGTGCCCTACGTGTGCTGGATGGCAGCCCAGCATCTCAGGCTTCAACACCATCTCTAATCTCTTGAGTCTCTGGTTCCTTTGCCCTCCCAGTCCTAACTTCTTCCTCCTTCCCCACAATGCCACCTTGCCAGCCCATACCCACCTGTGTTCGCATCTCTGGCAGCCTGGATGGGCACTTACTGGTGCTGGTGTGAATGGCTTCTTAGACAAGGAATGCCCGCCACCGTTCTGCGCCTCCCTACCCCTTTGGGTCTGCCACCGGGGTCTGGCTGGACTCTAATATGGTCCAGGAGTGGCAGAGCAAAAGGAAGAAATGGCAGCTGAGGAGACCAGGGTGGGCCAAGTGCCCGGCTCCGTGCCTGAGGTACCGCTGACCCATCAGTCAGATGGCTTCCTGTGGCCGGAAGCTTTGGCTGAGATATCCTTCCTTCCCCTTTACCAGCCCAGATTGTCTCCTCCCAGGCTGACAAGGGGCTTTGGAAGCCTGGGTAGGGTGGAGCTCTTGAGCCAGAGTCTATTCAGAAAAAGTCCTTTCTGGCCAGTAGGGTTTGGCTGTCATCTGTGTGTGTGGCGCTAGCTTCTGTGGAGATGGGTGATGGTGAGGCCTGGGGGCCTCCTGGAACCCGGGGAGGCTGCCACTCACCCCTTGCTCATTCCCACCTTGTTCCTGCCCTGTGTCTACAGAGCTGGCCACAGTAATGAGGCGCTTCTCCCTGCCGGGCGTCCAGGACTTCCTGACCTTGACCCTGAGAGAGCACTCTGGGCTCTTATATGTGGGGGCCCGAGAGGCGCTGTTTTCCTTCAGCATAGAGGCTCTGGACCTTCGCGGAGTGGTGAGAGGTCGGGCAGTGGGAGGCACAGGGGGACAGGGAAAGGGCGGGGCGGGCCTGGGCAGGCTGTCCCTCAGCCCAGAGGTCTCCTGGTGGCGGGGTTCCCCGTTGCTCTCCCCTTTGGGGCTCTGCCAGGAGGGATAATTTGGGGCTTGTGTCAGAATCGGGACCAGGTGTCACGCACGGTGTAGCTCTGTGGCACACGCTTAGCACATGCCTGTGACATTGCTGATGTGTCCTTTCCCATCCTCAGATCTCCTGGAGGGCCCCAACTGAGAAGAAGGTGGAGTGTACCCGGAAAGGGAAGAGCAACCAGGTGGGTGCTCAGGGCGCTTTGTCCACGGCGGCCTCCCTCTCCATTCTGGACCCTGGTGGCCCCGCCCACGCCCTTGATTCTCAGTTCTCACTGACGTGTGTGTACCTCTCTCCCTGAAGACCGAATGCTTCAACTTCATCTGCTTCCTCCAACCATACAACACCTCCCACCTGTATGTCTGCGGTACCTACGCCTTCCAGCCCAAGTGCACCTACATCGTGAGTGTTATTCCCCTCTTCGGGCGTGTCCCTTACCCACCTGTCCCTAATCTCTGTGACTCCCTTCCTTGAACTCTTGAGACCATGATTTTTCAGGCTGCGCAGGGCCCCACATTAATGCCTGTCTTTCGTGTCTTCCTGCCCCTAGAACAAGTTCAATTTCAAATTGAAGCGTGAAGAACTTGAGGATGGGAAGGGTAAATGTCCCTATGACCCAGCTAAGGGCCACACTGGACTCCTCGTGGGTGAGTGGCTGCCCCCTATACAGACAGGGTAACCCTTCTGGGACTTGGTTAGCCATCTGTACCTTCCTCCTCTGGCTTAGCTGATGTGCCATTTGTCTCTCGTAGACGGGGAGATGTTCTCAGCCACACTCAACAACTTCCTGGGCACAGAGCCTATTATCCTGCGGAACATGGGCCCCCACCACCCGGTCAAAACAGAGTACCTGGCGTTTTGGCTGAATGGTGAGTGGCGGCGGGATCGGGGAGGCCAAGAGTGGCCAAGCTAGGGCTTCAGAGACCCTAGCACTGTGCCACTGACCCGCCGTACTTTGCCCCAGAACCCCACTTCGTAGGCTCCGCCTATGTCCCCGAGAGCGTGGGGAGCTTCACGGGGGACGATGACAAGGTCTACTTCTTCTTCAGTGAGCGGGCAGTGGAGTATGACTGCTATGCTGAGCAGGTGGTAGCTCGTGTGGCTCGAGTCTGTAAGGTACCAAGTTCCGAAGCGGGTGTGGGGGAAGGCAGGGGGAGCCCCGAGGGCCGGGCAGGGGCTGACCAGCCGTGTCTCCTTGCCATCTGCCAGGGCGACATGGGGGGCGCGCGGACCCTGCAGAAGAAGTGGACAACTTTCCTAAAAGCACAGTTGGTGTGCGCGGCCCCTGACTGGAATGTCTACTTCAACCAGCTTCGGTCAGTGCACACCCTGCCGGGCACCTCTTGGCACAACACCACCTTCTTTGGAGTTTTTCAGGCGCGGTGGTAAGTGGCTCTGGGGGTGTTGGGGGTGGGGAGGAGCAGGTGGTCAGGCCGGCCGGGGTGGCTGTGTGGGTGTGAGGGCCTGCCCAGGTCTCTGGAAGGAAGTCCAGCCGGTCAGTGCCTGGCAGCCAAGATCACTCTGGCCTGCTCTTTTTAAAGCTCTGTCAGGGAGAGGAGCAGAAAAACTGCCTCAGGCGAAACCTCAGAGCCACCTTATGGCCCCGACGGCTGAGCCGGGCCCTACCTTCTCAGGGCTGCCTCTGGAGCGGGGAGCTGGGCGGGGTGGGATGCGGGCAGGTAGGCCCCAGGCCCGACTTCCCAGGTCCTTCCTTTGCTGTCCCAGGGGTGACATGGACCTGTCGGCAGTGTGCGAGTACCAGTTGGAACAGATCCAGCAGGTGTTCGAGGGCCCCTACAAAGAATACAGCGAGCAAGCCCAGAAGTGGGCCCGCTATACTGACCCGGTGCCCAGCCCCCGGCCTGGCTCGGTGAGTCCTGGGCGCGGCATGGCACGGATCGGCTCGGGGCTGCGCTCCCAGCACCAGGGCCCTGTCATTCCCCCCCCCCCACTGTTCACCTCCCCCCTCCCCCCCCCAGTGCATCAACAATCAGCACCGCCACAACGGCTACACCAGTTCCCTGGAGCTGCCTGACAACACGCTCAACTTCATCAAGAAGCACCCCCTGATGGAGGACCAGGTACGGCCTCGGTGGGGCCGCCCCCTGCTGGTGAAGAAGGACACCAACTTCACACACATGGCGGCCGACAGGGTCACTGGACTGGATGGTGCCACCTATACAGTGCTGTTCATCGGCACAGGTAGGCTCTTTGGGTGTGCCCAAGGCCGGCTGGGAGCCTGGGCAGGCCTCAGGCCTCGCCTTCCACACGCCCTCCTCATCGCCTCTCCAGACGATGGCTGGCTGCTGAAGGCTGTGACCCTGGGGCCCTGGATCCACGTGATAGAGGAAGTGCAGGTGTTCGACCAGGAGCCAGTGGGGAGTCTGGTGCTGTCTCAGAGCGAGGTAGGCGGCAGGGTGGACCACACATTCCGCACTGCGCACGCTCGCTCTCTCTCTCTCTCTCTCCCTCTCTCCGCATCACCGTCTACCTCACACCTGGTCTTTCTGCTTCCCTAGTCAGGTTCATGTGATTGGCCGGCTCAGGACTCCTCACTTAAGTCTTGCGGGTTCCAGGAAGGGCGGGCACTAGGCACCGGAACCTGCCCTCCAAGGGTTCTTACAGTCCCAGAATCCAGCCTTGGCAAAAACCCTCATGTTTTCTTCAGACCCTTCCAAGTGGGTCTGGGGCTTTGCCTGAGACCTCTTCTCAGTCATGCCCTGACTGAGCTCTGGCTGACCAGACCTCCCAGGCTCCAAGATGGTTTTGGTACGCATGCAGCAGGGACATCAGTCCCCAATGGGTGTCTGAGCCAGGCCCTCAATTTCCTGGATCATTCCCATGAAGCATTTGGTTTTTTTTGTTTGTTTGTTTAAATCTTCATGCAAAACTGGCATACCCACAGTAGCACCCTCTGACTTGGATTTGTTTGCCTTTTAGCAGCTATTGTGACACAAACTTGCTCCCGATCATTGAATGTTGAATAATGGCAGCAAGGGAAGTCTGGGCTAGAGCAAACCCAGATCGGCAGTCACCACTGAGACAGAGGGAAGCAGCTTAGATGGGTGCCCTTGCGCTGGCTCCTAGAGCTGGAGGACTGTGTGTGAGCAAGTGTGTTTACACCTCAGCCTCATAGTCTGCTGGCCTTGTCTAATGGGGTCACGTCTGTGCAGTGATTAGGATTGTGCTGGCTAAGCCCTCGTCAAGCTTGTCCCTCCCTCCTGCCTGGACTTTCCTCCTGCCTTCCTCCTCCTTTGGTACCTAGTGCGCCCATGCTCTCTGCACCAATCCCAGACACCTCTCTCTGTGCCCCGCTCGCTCTCAGAGGCTGAGCCCTTGCCCGGTTTTTCTGCAGAAGTTGCTCTTTGCTGGCTCTCACTCACAGCTGGTTCAGCTGCCCCTGGCTGACTGTACAAAGTACCACTTCTGTGCAGACTGTGTCCTTGCCCGGGACCCCTACTGTGCCTGGAATGTCAACACCAGCCGCTGTGTGGCCACCACCAGTGATCACCCGGGGTGAGTCTGCTGGTCAGGGCCAGGAGGGGAGGCAAGCGCAGTTTGGGGTTAGCCTTGCTGACGTCCTCTCCTCCCACCAGGTCCCTTCTGGTCCAACAAGTGACAAACTTGGACACCTCAAAGATGTGTAACCAGTATGGCATTAAGAAAGGTGAGCTGTTTTTCTTGTTGTTGTTCCTTTCTTTTGGGGATGGGCCCCGCATCACAGCCACAGTTGGCGCGCCTCCTCCGCTGTTGGCTCTGGGTTTCCTACGTTAATACTGTTCTCTCTCACCTTTCGCCTCTATAGTCAGACCTGTCTCCAAGAACATCACAATAGTGGCGGGCACAGACCTGGTCCTGCCTTGCCACCTGTCATCCAATTTGGCCCGTGCTCGCTGGACCTTCAAAAGCCAGGACCTGCCTGAAGGACAACCTGGCTCCTTCCTTTATGACCCAGGACTCCAGGTGCTGGTAGTGATGGCTGCCCAGCCCCGACACACTGGCCCCTATCGCTGCTACTTGGAGGAACAGGGGACCAGGCTGCCTGCAGAAAGCTACCGTGTTACTGTCGTGGCCGGCCCGTCTGTGACGCTGGAGGCCCGGGCTCCCTTGGAAAACCTGGGGCTGGTATGGCTAGCTGTGGTGGCTCTGGGGGCCGTGTGCCTGGTGTTGCTGCTGCTGGTGTTGTCTCTTCGTCGGCGACTTCGGGAAGAGCTAGAGAAAGGTGCCAAGGCGGCCGAGAGGACATTGGTGTACCCCCTAGAACTGCCCAAGGAACCAACCAGTCCCCCCTTCCGTCCTGGCCCAGAAACAGACGAGAAACTGTGGGATCCCGTTGGCTACTACTATTCAGATGGCTCTCTCAAGATTGTGCCTGGTCACGCCCGGTGCCAGCCCGGGGGTGGACCCCCCTCCCCGCCTCCTGGTATACCTGGCCAGCCCCTGCCTTCTCCAACTCGGCTTCACCTAGGGGGGGGTCGGAACTCAAACGCTAATGGTTATGTGCGCTTACAGCTGGGAGGGGAGGACCGAGAAGGACTCGGGCACCCACTGCCGGAGCTTGCTGACGAACTGCGCCGCAAACTGCAACAGCGCCAGCCACTGCCTGACTCTAACCCAGAGGAGTCCTCAGTATGAGGGGCCCCACCCACCTCATGGGTGGGGGCCCCTGGGAGGCACACTCTTTTGCACAGGCACCAGCTACCTCAGGGACACGGCGGGGCCACTTGCTCTGCCTGGGACAGACACTGCCCGGCATTTGCCCTGCCTCGAGGACCTGCTCAGCGTGGGGACTGCCACTGGGTGTGGCTCACCAGGACATCAGCCTCACAGGAGGCACGCCTTCCTCTGTGAGCTTCAGGCACGTGGGACCCAGCAGCCAAAACTTTGCAAGGCAGAAGTTTCAAGATGTGGGTATTTGTGCATACATGTGTTGGTGCGTGCGTGTATGTGTGTATGGAGGCGTGTTTGTGTGTGTGTGTGTGTGTGTGTGTGTGTGTATGGAGGTGTGTGCATCTCTGTCAGTCTTCCCTTGGCCTGGGGTCCTCCTGGTGAGTCTTTGGAGCTATGAAGGGGAAGGGGGTCATGCCACTTTGCCTTTCCTACCCCTCCCTGTCCCGAGCTTGGGACAGTTGATGTACATATGGGGACGGGATGGACAGGGTGTTTACCCCTGTGGGGAGAGTGCAGGACTCGGGGTGGGCCTAGTCTTGCTCCTAGGGCTGTGAATGTTGTCAGGGCGGGGGGAGGGAGATGGAACCTCCTGCTTCAGGGGGAAGGGTGGGCAGGGCCTCCCGCTTGGCCTCTGGCTTCAGTGGTATTTTATACTTGTGCTCTTCCAACAGGGCTGGGGAAGGTTGTTGGGGGGAGGGGAGGGAGAAGGCAGGCATGCTGTGGATACTGGCATATCCTCTCCCAGCTCTAGGAAAAGGGCTCCTAACAGTGTAACTTATTGTGTCCCCCACATATTTATTTGTTGTAAATATTTGAGTATTTTTATATTGACAAATAAAATGGAGAAAATGAAACTTAGTTCTTGTTAAGTGTGCAGTCTTGACCCAGAGGGAACCACGTTTTGGGCTGGGTCCGTCGCAGTCTTAGCGCCTGTCTGTGCCCCCTCCCTGGAGGCACCAGCCTGAAACTCCAGTGCTTTCCCACAGTGGTGCCTATGGGACTGGGAACCAGACCAGGGCTATGTCCTCTTGGGAGCCAGACTTGGCCTGCTGCCACAGGGAAAAGTCATCACTTTGGGGAAGTGGAGATGGGTTTGTCTTCCCAGAACTCCAGGAAGGGTGAGCAGGGGCTGGGGGGGGGGGGTTTGAAGGAGAGGACCTAGAAGTTTCTTGAGGTTGTGTGGATAGTTTTTACGAAGATGGAGCTCAGGACGTGCTCAGTGGGAGGAGGAGCTGCTTGTAGCTTTCTGTCCCATCTATGTAGGGAAAGATAGTCCCCACTGCCACCCAGTGAGATCCGGGCCCTAATTCTAGTGATGGAGTAGTGTAGGTCCAGATGTTACTGGGAAAAACAGCAGGCTCAGCCTGGATTCAGTTTTGATGGGAGGTTCCGGGTAAATGAGTTTCAAAAGGGAAATAGGGAAAAAAAATAATGACATTTTAAGATGTTTTGTGTTGAATTCGATGCTATTGTTGGCAGCAATTTGGACACGACTGGTTTAGATAAATCTAACCCATGCACAGGGACAGAAAGCACAATAGTGAGCTCCTCCCCTCGGCGCCCCTTCCCCATACATTTGGTTGCAGTTGAGCAGGCTGCTGTCCTGGTTTCTGTGAGTGTGGGTCAGAAGGCTGCACTATGCTTGAGTGTGTTCCCCTTAGCTCAGATGTCAGCCCAGCGGATGCTGTCAACCATCGAGGGAGCAGAGGATTAAGCACAAAGGTGGGCCTGCTCTTCCCACTGGATTGTGAAGGAACGAGGGTCAGAGCGTTAAGTGGCGGTCACTGCGCAGCCCATGGCCGGCCTGTGGCTCCGGAGATGCCAGGAAGAAGGGATGAGAGGAACCGTGGGCGGCGTCCAGAGTCCTTGTGCCCTGGGGAGCCCGCGAGGCCTCGGTTCTGGCGAAGGGGACATAAACACTGCCAGGCGGGCCAAGCTGTCCGGTCCCCACACCCTACAAGGCTGGGCTGCACGAACCGTCCCGCCTCCCCCGGGGCGCGCAGCAGAACCGCCGCGCATCTGCTCCTCCTTGCGCTTCGTTAGCCTCGGGCGCCCCCGTGTGGCGGCAGCGCAGCAAGGCCCAGCCCAGCCAGCCCCGCCTCGCTGCTGCTGTTATTGGTTGCTAAGCTAAGGTCTAAACGCCGGATTGGTCGTCTCGGGCGGGAGGGCGGGACTCGGGGGGGTCAACCACGGACGCCCAGTGGTCAGCCTGGACGGGGGCGTGGGCACTGCGAAGGAACGCCCGGCTGCAGACGCGGCTGCGGAGATGGCGGCGCCGCAACCGTGCGCCGATGGCTCCTGCTGCTCACGCCCCGGGGCTGTGCCCGGGGTCCAGCAGACGCTGGAGGAGATGGACTTCGAGAGGGGTGAGGAGGGTGAGGCGGCCGCGTGGCTGGCGGCGGGCAATTCCCAGCCCCGTCCCCCGGGGACGTGAACCAAAGGAAGCCGCGAACCGAGTCTGGAGCTTCCGGGCCTGGTGCGGGACGGCTGGCCGCAAAGCGTGGCAGGAAGCCCTTCGGCCACATCGTCTCGAAAGCGGACCGGTAAACTGAGACATTGGTTTCCGAACTGGGTCTGGAGACCGACCTGACTAGCAGACAGTCAGCTCAGGTGACAGGGGAGCGAGGGACACAATCTGCAGCTGGGTGGTTGTATCCGCCTGGAAGATCAGGGCAGCTGGGCTCGGGTGTGAATGCACACGTTTTAGCCCGGACAGTCATCTCTGAACAGGTGACGGCATCTTTATCTGTGAATCTGGGACAAACGAGGTAATGTTTTGTCCCAGATTATACAGAGATCATGCTGCCAGCAATGGCCCCTGCTCTCTGTGCCTGGAACCGCCGGCACAGGTGGCATGTGCGGGGGGGGGGGGGGGGAGGGGGGATAGCAAGGTAGGGTAGATGCTGCTGATGCCTGTGCAGTCACACCCGACCGTTGCCATAGGAATGGTCTCTTAGCCTGCACCCTTCATCTCTGCTACTGCCATCCTTTGGGCTACGGATATAAGACTTCCCACTTCCTCTCACACCCTCTTGCAGTGATTTTTGCTCCGTATTGGAAAATAGCAAAGGAGATTATTACATTTGTTTTTTTTTTATTTAAAGGTCATTTATATGCGTTTGTCAGAATTATGTCTGTGTATCACATGTGCCTGGTGTCCATGGAGGCTAGAAAAGGGCATCAGATTCCCTGGAATTGAGCTTAGTGCTGTGAACCGACCCAGGCGCTCTGCCGAGGGCTCACAGCTGTGGGGCCAACTCTCCAGCCCCCTCCCATTGCTTTTAGTCCCCCAAACCGAGTTCTCTACTGTGACCAACCAAGCTGCGCTGTACCCTCATTATAGTTCTCAAAATTGCAGTGGCCCTCTGGGTTCCTGGAGACCTTTGCCTGATGTGCCAGCCAGTCTCCCTGCAAACTTCAGCCTAACTGAAGCTTTTCCTTCTGCTCTCTCTACCTTGACACCTCTTCAGAGGAATCAGGCTTCCTCCTGCCTTAGAACCCTCACCTGGGGACAGTTATGCCCAGTAAAGGGCTAGAGTGGTTTTCGCGCGGCACAGCTATTTGGACATGCACAGGCTGGGTCCCAACAAGAGAAGAGGACCTGGCTCAGTGTGTCAGCCCTGTATCTGTTGAGAAAGAGACCTCGCTATGAGCAAAGCAGGGCCCTTCCCTTCCAGATTATTCTGTTACATTAGCACTTTGCTCACATTATAGCAGTGTTTGACTCAGAGGCTGAGGCAGGAGGGTTACGAGTCTGTAGCCAGGCGAACTATGAAAAAAGACATAATTTATGTATCGGTTGCTGTTGTGTTTGCTTACGTTATGTATTCCACACATGTGATACAGATGCTTACATATTTTGTGAACGTTTTCTGGGAATCACTTTCCTTAGTTTTTCAGTTACTGGATGTGTGTGTGTGTGTTCTGTTCTGTCAGTCTGTCCGTCTCCCCACCCCTCACCTCCCCCTTCCTCATCCCCTAGACAGGGTCTCACTATGTAGCACGGGCTGTTCTGGAACTTATTTTGTAGACCAGACTGGGCTTGAACTCAGAGAGATTCACCTGCCTCTGCCTCCTTAGCGTTAGGGTTGAAGGCGTGCACCACCACTGTCTGGGCCTAGCAAGTATTCTTACCTGCTGGGCCATCTCTCTGTTCACTGGTTTAAATACGTGTATTTCTTTAATGTGTGAGAATGTCTTGCCTGTGTGTATATATGCATCACGTATGTGCCTGGTCAGGAGAGGGTATTGGAGGCCTGAAATGGGGGTTATAGTGGGTACTAGGAATCAAAGCAGGTCCTCTAGAAGATCAACGAGTGCCGAACCATCTTGCAGCTCTGGCTTTTAAGACAGGACTTCACTACATAGCTCTGGCTGTCCTTGAACTATGTAGACCAGGCTGGCCTTGAATTCACAGAGATCTACCTGCCTCCATCTCCTGAGTGCTGGGATTAAACGCTTGCGATACCATGCCCAGCTTTTGATTGTCTATGTTTCTATATAATTCTTATCTCTTCAACCAGTTATCTTTCCCATATGTGGGGAGCAGAGGAGGCCCTGAGTGAATGTGTAATGTTAACATGAGTGCAGCCATGTTAAGGACCCTCAATTCAGACCTACGGGGAAATGGCTGGCACATGCACACAGGCGCGCGCGCGCGCGCGCCCCCCCCCCACCAGGTTGAGGCTAAGAGAGATGGCAAGTCCCCTCTGGCCCATGTGCAGATGTTGACAGTCTACGCAGAAAACGTCTACCATTTCTCCCTCTGGATATTCGTGGTCTGAACTCTGCTCCTCTGCAGAGATTGCCCTACTGATGGCAGCTAAACCTGCCTTCAGCTGTGTGTAATAACCCCACCTCCTTGCTCAGCTGTGTGTAATAGCCCTGCCCTGTTGCTGGATATGTTAAACCACGTGTAATAAGCAGGCTGAGCCTCTGAGGTGCTGCATTTCTCCATGAGAGAGCCTGGCCACCAGTCCTAACTTCCCAGCTTCCCTGTGTGTTCCCTGTCTGGGCTCCCTCGCTGCTCTAGTAAGGTCAAGTGCCTGGAGCCATGCAAGGACAAGGCTCCCGTTACATCTGCCATTCCTCTGATTCCTTTTTAAAAGACTGTCAGAGCATGTTCTCTCCCATGTGTCCTTACCGCTTACCCCGTTATTTCATGCTGCATTGTGAGTGAGTTCCGAGCCACTGATCAAATCATCAGCTGAGTGTGGTCATTTTTATTTCAATACTTTTATTAATTTTGAATTTATTTAGGGTGTAGTGGGGTGTCAGGGCGGGAGTTCGGAGGTCAGAGGACCCTTGCTCGAGTCTTTTTTCTCCTGCCCTGTAGGTGTAGGGGATTGAATTCAGGCAGTCAGGCTTGACAGGGATTTTACCCGCTGAGCCACCTGTTCAGCTTTTTGTTTCGAGACAGGGTTTCTCTGTGTGACAGTCCTGGCTGTCCTGGAACCCGTTCTGTTGACCAAGCTGGCCTCTTAACTCGGAAATCCGCCTGCGAGCGCCCCCACCGCCCTGGACCAGCTTTTATGACAGATGTAGACTATTACAATTCTTAGCATGGGATTATTGCTTGCTTCCTGCGGTAGTGTAGGTACAGGGCCCCAAGCTCTAACTTACAGAGGTAAAAACTCCAGTCGCAAAGTAGAAGAAATTCTCAAAAAAAAGGGAAAAGAGAAAACTCCCATAGTGCCGCACCGCTTAGCGCTTTGATTGGCTCTCTGCAGGAATCTGGTCAGCAGCCCTGAATGGAGACCTGGGCCGAGTGAAGTATTTCATCCAGAAGGCCACGGACCCTAGCCAGCCTGACTCTGCTGGCTACACAGCACTGGTGAGCTATGGACAGAGGCCTTACTGTGGGCTGCCTGCTCTCTTCCCTTTAGTGTTTGTTTTGTTATTGTGCGTGCACGAGCTTACCACAGTGCATGTGTGGAGACCAGAGGACGGCCTTTGGGAGCTGTTTCATTCCTTCACTGTGAGAGTTCTGGGGGTAGAACTCAGGTCACCAGGCTTGGTAGTGAGTACTTTTAGCCAATGAGTCATCTCACTGGCTCTTGGGAATTTTTTGTTTGTTTGTTTTTAAGGGTTCACTCTGTGGCCCATGCTGCCCTTGGAGTCATTCCTGCCTCTCCCTCTGAGTACTGAAATTACAGGCATGTGCCACCCCACCTCGACCTAAAGTTTGTTGTTTCGTCTTGGGAAGCAGGCTCTCGCATCACCCAGATTACCCTCAAACTTGCTGTGCGCGGCCAGTGACCCCGCCCCTTCTCCTGCCTCCTCCCAAGTGCTGGGATTTCAGACAAAGGCTTATGCCCTCGGGACTGATGAGCACTCTCCCACCTCCACTGTATCGGCAGCCACCCTCCGCTTTTTATCACGAGCAGCTGGGTGTTTTCATCAGTGGAAGAATGCAGCTGATCTCTGAGCTGATCCCGGGCCCCGCCCCGCCCCTTGCTGGAGAGCCAGCGCTCCTAGCGTTTTGTCTAGTGCCCTTGTCACCGCCAGGACTTGGCTGCCTGACTTCAGCCTCTGCCCCCTGCAGCACTACGCTAGCCGCAACGGGCACTATGCTGTTTGCCAGTTTCTGCTGGAAAGCGGAGCAAAGTGTGATGCCCAGACCCGCGGGGGGGCCACCGCCTTGCACCGGGCCAGCTACTGCGGCCACACAGAAATTGCACGATTGCTGCTTTCCCACGGGTCCAACCCCCGCTTGGTGGATGACGATGGCATGACCAGTCTGCATAAGGTACGTCCCTGTCTCCATCATACCTTCTTTTCCTTAATCTTACTGGGTGTATTAGTTACTTTTCTTGTTGCTTTCCTGTGGCAAAATTCTGGTGTTTTGTTTGAGACAGGGTCTCTCTGTGTAGCCCTGGCTGTCCTAGAAGCCACTTGTGTAGACCAGACTGGCCTTGAACTCACAGACATCCACATGACTTTGCCTCCCAATTACTGGGATTAAAGACGTGTGCCACCACACCCATGTGACAAAATTAACAGAAGCAATTTAAAGAAGGAAGGGTTTATACTAAATCTCAGTTCAAGGTGGAGGATACAGTCTGTCATGGCAAGTAGGCAATGGCAGTAGAAGGCCAGGAGCATGAGGCAGCGCGATGCGTGTGCGTGCGTGTGCGCGTGTGTGTGCGCGCACATGTGTGTGCGCATGCGTGTGCATGCACACACACGTGCCAAGATGGGCATAGAACAATCAGGACAACTTTCAGAAGTCAGTCTCTCCTTCCACTACATGAGACCAGGGGATCAAACTGATACTGACAGGTTTGGCGGCAAGTGCCTTTTCCTTCTGAGCCATCTTGCCCCCACATTGGTATCTGCAGTCAGGCAGCAGAGGACAGCGAACGCAGGTAGGTGCTCAGCCCTGAGCTGGGACTCCTGCTCATGAGGTTAAAGCTCTCTAGAAACGCCCTCACACCCCTCAGAGTGTCTCCTCGGGGATGCTAAATCCTACCCAGGTGACAACCAAGATTAATGTCGCAGCACTCAACCGTAGAAAACAATGTAGAAAAGAAAAGCCACCTAGAATCTCGTGCTCACCTGTGCCGCCTTAGGAAAGTCGTTTTCTGGCCATTCTTCTCTGCGTTTGAATTGGTTCTTTCCCTCGTGGCAAGTTGTGAAGGCTTTCCTGTGTAATCGGCTTTTGAAACAAGTACTACTTGAGCTCTCTGCCACCCGCTTTCTAGGTCATAGACAGGATGAGCATTTTTGGGGTTCAGTATTCTAGGCTCTTCCTCCAGGCATCCACTTTACCAATTGCTACTTCGCTTGCTCGCTCGTTCCCTCCCTCCCTCCCTCCCTTCCTTTCCCCCCCAGTTGCTATGTGCTGGGATTGCTAGGCAAGTGCTTTACCACTGAACTATTAACCCACAAATGTGTCTTAGAGATGTGATTTATGCATACATTTTAGGTAAGGGCCCTTCCTTGCCCCAGCTCTGATTCTCACCAGTGCAGGTGGCTTTTAAAAGAGTTCCAGTCAAACCCCACACTCCATGGGATTCCCTCAGAGGCTTGCTTTTTTCCAAATCCAAGAAGCATCCTACGAGGCCCCCGGGTTCAGCTCCCGCTGGCATTAATATTGTCTTTAGCTCTCAACCTCGGTCCCTATATGCTGGCTCTGCTAGTCTTTTTCGTCTTCTTTGTACTCTCTGTCGCTGTGTATTACACTCTGCCTCCCATGTGGATGGATGCCTCTCCCCTCCCCCGTGGAGAACCTTTTGAGACGGTTCTCCGTTCCTCCCGCCGTCCCTCCGTCTGTCCGCCTCCCACCGGAGTTCTACTGTGTAACCTGGAACTATAGCAGATCAGGCTATTCTCAACTTGGAGCAGTCTTCCTGCCCTTGTCCTTTGAGAAGTTGATTGTAAGCACGCACCACCACACCCAGCTTCCCCCCCCCCCCCCGCAATCTTCATAGGCCTTCTTCCTGTCTCTCTGGACTGTGGTTTGTATATCAGCTCTGTAGAACCTTCCTGGTCCCCAAGCATTCCCGGCTGTTGGAGTCCTGCACTTGACTTCCTGACTCCTGGCATGCTGCTTAGTTTTATGCCACCTTGATCTGAACTGTGCTCATTTGGGAAGAGGGACTCTCAATTGAGAAAATGCCTCCATAACATTGTGTAGGCAAGTCTGTAATGCATTTTCTTGACTGATGATTGGCGTAGTTGGGCTCACAGCACTAGGGGCAGTGCCATCCCTGGCAGAAGATTACCCTGGATAGTATAAGAAAGCAGGCGAGGGGCTGGAGAGATAGCTCAGTGGTTAAGAGGACTGGATTTTCTTATAGAGGACCCGGGATCAATTCCCAGCACCCACGCGTGTGGTTCAAACCATCTGGAACTCTAGTTCCAGTGATTCTGACTCCCTACATGCAAACAAAACATGCACACACACACACACACACACACACACACACACACACACACACACACGCACGCACCTTTAAAAAGCCAGGCATGATGGCCATACATTTAATTTGATCCAAGCACTTGGGAGGCAGAAGCTGGTAGGTCTCTGAGTTCGAGGCTGGCCTGGTCTACAGAGTGAGTTCCGATGCCGGGAGTGGTCCCCCCCTGAGTGGGGGAGTGTGGATGAGGGAAAGGCTAGCTATAGATAATAAAGAAAGACAGACACAGAATAAAGGTCAGGAGGGCAGATCAGTCAATACTGAAATGCCACAAGTTTATTTTTTTGCTACTCTTATATGCCATAACCAAAAAGTGGAACACAGTATCATGTGTATGGAACAAACAGAACTTTCCCCACTCATTCCAAGGGTTCAATAACCACACCTTAGCTCTAACTTCTTGTTCCCTAGCCTTGAGGTCAGGAGTAGCCACACCTCAGATTCAGGTCTGTTGTTACTTAGACTAAGACAGCCGAAACATCCTTCTGTAGCCACGCCTTTGACCTTTAGGTCTTGTGACTTGCTGACAGCTTTGAACTCTGTCCTTGTGCCAAGATGGAGGGCAGCCATCTTTATGGGCACCCACGTTCTAAGATAGTTAGGATTACATAAAGAAACCCTGTCTCAAAGAACAAAAAAAAAAAAAATCAGGCTGAGCAAGCCATGAGGAGAAAGTCAGTAAGCAGCACCCTCCCTGGCTGCCGCTTCAATTTCTGCCTCCAGGCTCCTGCCCCAACTCCCCTTCGTGATGAGCAGCAACCAGCATTGAAATAAGCCCTTCCTCCCCAAGTTACATTTGGCCTCGGTGTTCGGTTACAGCAATAGAAACCTTCCTAAGACACCTGTTCGTTTTGAGATTCTGTTGGAGGTCTGCCTCACGAGGGCTAGCAGCTGGGGCTTGCTTTTGTTGAGTGCAAACTTAGCACATGCCACAGGTGCTGAGTGACACCTGCAGGTTGGGTTTTGTTAAATCCTTGACAGTTGTAGAAGCTTGAGCCTTTTCTGTTTTAAAAATACTTACTAATGTTGGGCGGTGGTGATGCAGGCCTTTAATCCCAGCATTCAGGAGGCAGAGGCAGGTGGATCTCTGTGAGATCAAGGCCAGCCTGGTCTACAGAGTGAGTTCCAGTATAGCCAGGGCTACACAGAGAAACCCTGTCTTTAAACAAAACTTAATATACTAATTTGTGGAGACTAAAGAGATGGCTCAGTGCTTAAGAGTACGTTCTTTTTTTTTTTTTTTTAAGGTTTATTTATTATGTATATACCGTTCTGCCTGCATGTACACCTGCAGGCCAGAAGAGGGCGCCTGATCTCATTACAGATGGTTGTGAGCCACCGTGTGGCTGCTGGGAATTGAACTCAGGACCTTTGGAAGAGCAGCCAGTGCTCTTAACCTCTGAACCATCTGTCCAGCCCACAAGTGTATACTACATTCTTGCTGAGAATGGAAGTTGGGTTCCCAGCTCACAAGCACTTACAACTCCAGCTGCCCTCTTTTGGCCTTTGCAAGCATCTGCACACACCTACACATGTCTCCTCACAGACACACAGTTTAGAAATGGGGTTGTTTGTGTATGTGTGTGTGAGTGTCTGCACACATTTACGAGCTGGGGCGCGTGGCTGTGCCTGTACACAGAGGCCAGAAATAGGTATCGGGTATTCTACTGTCAGCCCTTGCCTTTTCCTTTGAGATAAGCGCCTCTTCCTGATAGCGGGGCACAGGTTTTCTTGTCTAGGCTGAAAGCCAGCAATCCTCAGGGCGGGGGTTACGGGCAGCTGTGGGACAGCTAAATAAAGGCCAGAATGATTACTGGGGAAAGGATGTTAAAATAATTCGGGTCAAGTTGTGGAGTGGGGGATGGGAGGGCGGGGTGGGGGAGGGTGGAGAGGCGCATAACCGGGATCCTAAATCCTAGACCCTCGGAGGCCAAGGCAGGAGAATTGTCAGTTTGAGGCTAGCTTGAACTACATAGTGAGGCATTATCTCAAAAAGCAAAAACAACAACAAAAATAAAACAGTAACAACAAAATAAGCGACCAGGAGTGATGGTGGGCATGCCTTTGAGTCCAACATTCAGGAGGCAGAGGCAGAGGCAGAGGCAGGCAGACTTCAGAGAATATATAGCCTCATATACAACTTCAGGCCAGCCAGGGCTACTGTAGTAAAACTCGGTCTCAAAAAAGAAAAAAAAAAAAAAAAAAAAAAAAGTCAATACTAGTAACATAGTGAGTAATACAGTGAGACCCTGCCTCAAAAGGTAAAAAGAAGGTACGTCGCTCAGTAGAGAAATGCTTTCGTGACATGCACAAAGGCCCAAGCATGGCTGCTCGTACCTGTAAATCCAGCCCTTGGAAGCAGAGGCAGGAGGGTTGCCAGAAGTTCCAGGCCAGTCTAGAGAGTTCCAGAACAGCTGCAGTAGAACCAGAATGGACTCAGGTGTTTTACTGATCTGCGTGCGTGGCATGGGCTTCGGTAGGAACTGGAAGTCTGCTTGCCCATCTGAGGTTCCCGTTTCTAGGAAACATTTCTAAGCAGGTCCTCCTAGAGGGAAGAAAATGCAGGGCTCAGCTGGGGCGTGTCCTCTGATTTGGGCCTCTCTCTCCACAGGCTGCAGAGAGGGGTCACGAGGACATCTGCTCCCTCCTCTTACAACACAGCCCAGCCCTGAAGGCTGTCCGGGACCACAAAGCACGCCTAGCATGTGACCTGCTGCCCTACAACAGTGGCCTGCGGGACCTGTTGGCCAGCTGAGGCGCCGCTGCCTGCCTCTGGTTGCCCTTGAAGGGTACAGACTAGCTCTCCACACCCCTGCCTTGCTCAGCATCATGCTGTTGGATGGGACCAGGGCCAGAGTGCCCGGAAGAGCCCCCGTTTGGCTGGGTGTGGGAGCCAGTAGGGAGGCTAGGGAGGGCTTGAAGGCTGTGACCCTGGACAGGTGGTCATGTAAATTAGTCCTTGTAGAAACAGGTATCCATGTGGAAGAAAATAAAACTTATATCTTGACACCATCCCACAGACAAAAGATAAATTTCAAGATGTAGAATCCTAAATACAAAAGTGCAAAACTTTGAAGTATAGCGAAAATAATGGAGTGTCTAACAAAAGCTGTTTTCTAGCTGAATGAGCTTGGTGCAGGCAGTGTTCTTTTTTTAACCTGTCGGTCCCTCAGCCACCCCCCCCACCCTGCCCCCCGTACGGCCCTCAGGGCCCGCCCCCCCCCCCCCCCCCCCGTGCAGTTGTGAGATGAAAATGATTAGGAATAGCTTTGCCTCGTGGTTACTCTGGGTCTGGGGACGTCTGTAGAGGGCGCTCTAGTGAGTGAATTACGTTACAAGCTGCTTGGGACAGTGTCCCCCCACCCCCCGCTGGCCTGCATTGAAATAGCTGCTCAGGAGGCTGAGGCCTGCCTGCCTGGGCTACAGAGGAATTCAAGGCCAGCCCGGGCAGCGTAGACCCCGCCTGTGTCAATAGGTAAAAAGACAGGACATAGCTCAGCGGTGGAGTGTTTGCCTGACATGGGGAAGCTCTATGTTCTAGGGAGAAACAGAGCCCAGACCCAAAGTCTAACTGACCCTGGCTTCTCTTCCAGAACTGCAGTTCTAGAAGCCTGATTGTACACAGTGTAACTGTCCAGGTGTTGTTGCACACACCTTTAGTCATGACGCCCAAAGGAGGAGGATCTCTTGGAGCTCCAGGCCAGCCAGAGCTAGAGACCCTATCTCCAAAAACCATGTAATTATCATTGCTTTTTAATTGTTTTGTACGGCTTACTAGGGAGACTGCATACCTGTCTTTGACCTTCCCATTTAAGCCTATGGTTTTATTCTTACTGTGTAGTCTAGGCTAACCTCCAGCATGGAGCCATCCTCTGGCCTCAGCCCCCTTGGGACTATAGGCATGCCACCACATCCAGCTTGCCGTGTCTTTATTGGAACTTACAGGAACTTTGAATTATGGATATTGAGCTTTTGCTCCGGATGTATGATATATGCATTTTATATGTGTATATTAAAGTTTCCTTTTGCACTATCATGTGCCTTACGTTGGTTGACTTCTGGTCATGGAAACTGGTACACACACACCATAGATGGCAATTTAGCAATGCTTAAGAGAACAGAGCCAGTAGTTTAGGCTTCTGTGTAGCAACCTAGGAAGAGTCATCCTTGATTGCAAAGGTGTCAGTTTACAGGCTCATTTACAAAGTGCACTGGGGCACAAGGCCCAGGGTCCCCCACACTGAGAGAACAAGGGATGCATAAAATACAGTGTATATTTAAAAAGAGCTCTAGGCATGGCAGCTAACGTGGAATCCCAGCACTCAGGAGTTTAGGTAGAGTTAGGAACCTGAACTATAGTGTGAGACTGTGTGTGTGTGTGTGTGTGTGAGAGAGAGAGAGAGAGAGAGACAGAGACAGAGGGGTGTAGGCTGACAGAGACAGACAGAGGATGGAGAGGGAGAGAATGTAAGAACTGACCACTGAGAGAGAAAAGACTCATTGGCCGCTCCCTGGCAGGGAGGGGCCGGGTTTGGCACATCACTTATGGCGCCCACAGAAGGACACTCTTCAAATGACGTGCTGTGCAGACACGAGAGGAAAAGTTGGGAAGATACGGTTTCCCCTTGGCCATGGAGGTAAGAATATGTCTTTAGTTTTATTTTTAAAAATTAATAATTTTATTGCTTTTTAACTTAGAGGTAATACCAGTTATCTTTGTGTGGAACAAACTAGCATTTCCCTTAACTTTTTTTGTTGTTGTTGGGTATATGGTTTCACAGTAGCCCAGTTGGACTTCAAAACCAAGGTCCATTTTCTTGAGCCATCTGATACTAACAGTTTTGTTTGTTTGTCTTCCTGTGACAGGGTCTCTATGTAGTCCTGGTTTCTTGGAACTGGATATGTAGACCATGCTGGTCTTGAACACACAGAGACCCTCCCGTCTCTGCCTCCCAAGTGGATGCCACCACCGCCACCAGGGTACTAGAGTGACAGTCATGTACAGCCATGCCCAGCTTCATCAAATGCGGGACAGCGGAGAGCAGAGATGGCCTGGCTTTCTATGTGCCTTCTTTCTCACGGGGTAACTGCATCTTGCCTCCTGTCTCAAAGAAAGCACCCTAAAGCTTAAGACCTGGGCTTGCTTATTTATCTACTTTAGTTTTTTTTTGTTTTGTTTTGTTTTGTTTTTTTGAGACCGGGTTTCTCTGTGGAACTCGCTCTGTAGCCCAGGCTGGCCTGACACTCATCGAGATCCGCCTGCCTCTGCCTCCCGAGTGCTGGGATTAAAGGTGAGCGCCACCACTGCCCAGCTTTTTTTTTCTCCCAAGGGGGGGGGCTTCTTTAAAAAGCCGTCCTTTTAATTTCTCTGAAAGCTGCATGTCTGTGAGGTCAGCATGGGCAGCCGGCGCTCTGCTAACCGCTGTGGGCTCCATCCTCTCAGCCCTCTCTGTCCGTGTGGCTCTCATCCCGGAGTCTTGTTTACTGGGTGTCAGATTTCCTTACAAAGGTCAAGTTGGAATTTGGGGCACAGCGGAGTGAAAAGCATTCCTGGGTTCGGGAGAATTGGGAATTTGATTTTGTTGGCCGCTTCCTGTCTGGCTCCATGGTTATTGCTACAGACCGGGACCTGGAAGGGGGGGGGTCTCAGACCCCTTGCCCTGTTGAAGGGCATGCTCCTTACCCAGAGAGTATCTGATGTGGACCTGGAAGGCTTCATCAGCCCTCCGTGGACTGATGACAGGCTGGAGCACAACACCATGGTTGGCTGTCGGCCTGCTGAGGGACAAATCTGGGAGGGAAGGGCAGCCTTGAAACCAGCCAGTTGGGAAATCATATGAAGCCTAGTTTCATCATGCAGGTCCAGGAGAATTCCCAAGGCATTAGGTCAGCCTCTTCCCCTGTCCCTCCTGAGGTCTTCTGTAGGATGCCTGCCTTGTCTCCTCAGGATCACAGGCAGCCAGATCTCCATTGCAAGGCTGGGTACCATCAGTGGGCTCTAAACTCAGAGGATTAAGAAATGTTTCCCTTGGGTCTGGCCCAGGCACCCCAGGGCTCCCTGGTAGATGTAGGTAGGGTGTGGCAGGTGCCGGGTAGTGGGTGTCTGAGGAGGTTGCCGACTCAGCTCCTAAAGCTCCTTTTCCTGCCCTCTGTGGGCCACTTTCCCAGACCTGTATTTTGGTTAGTGTGACAGGGCCACAGAGTCATCTGGCCCGGGCACAAGCTCTGTCCTCCACCCCCAAGAGAGAGCGCTCACCCATAAAAGAGCCGAGCTCTCTGCTCCCTTCGCTGGGCGTGTGGAGAGCGAGGAGGGGGACCATGGACTTCATCAGCATTCGGCAGTTGGTAAGGACGAGGACGAGGCGGGTGATGGGGGGGGAAAACCTATCGCAAGGTGCAGGCATCCAGACTATGGCCAGAGCAATGAAGTCTGGCTGAGGGCAGACAGCTGCTTTCTTGGGATTTGAGGGTCAGATTGGGGCTCTGTCCTGCCTGGTTCACTTGCTAGCGGGTGTCAAGGGAAGGGAAGACATCAGGAAAGCTGGGTGATGGTAGATGGGAAACCCTTGAGTTATTGAGGGCATTTTTTTTTTTTTTTTTTTTTTTTTGTCTGTTTTTGGTGAGTTTGGTACTGGAAGACCATCTCGGGGCTTCACACATGCCAGATTAGCATTCTACCACAGAGCTGCACCCCCCCCCCAAGCTTCTAGCTGTGCCTTTGTCTAGATGGTGGAAAAGAAGTGGGAAGTGGTGAATTCCTCTGGGAGCCATGGACATGGCTGTATAGTTCCTTTAGGTCAGGCACAGGACAGTCTGGTCAGAACTTTCTGGAAGGTCTGGCCACTTTAAGGGTAGTGTCCTTGGGTCCCCCGAGCAGTGAGAGGACAGCCATGCAGTGTCAATGCGGGCAGCTTGGGGCATGGAGGGCATGTGGCACACAGGCTCCACTGTGGTGGCGTGGCCCCAGCTGGCTCCTGGGAAGTGGATGGCCAAGCCCAGTCCCGGAGATGTTGGGTCATCGGAGCTGCTGAGTCAGAGGGGAGCCCTGGCCATCCGGCCAGAAGTCTCAGACTCTTCTGTTACCCTCTCCAGCATTCTCCCCCACAAGCACCCTTCTCTGTGCTCTACAGCTCCCTGAGTGGCTAAGGGACTGGAGGAGGGGCATCAGCTTTGACTGGCCATAGGGGGATGGTTTGAGCCATTTTACAGAGGCAGTTTCTCTAGGACCCAAGGGCTGAAAGCAGGGATTTAGAATTTGGCCCAGGAGCTGCTCTCTTTTCTAAGCTTGGGTCAAGTAGTGTGGCTTTGATGTCACAGGAATCTAGGGACAGAAGCCCAGGTTGGAAGCTAAGATGTCACCCGTCTACTCCCTGGCATGAACCTCCCTCAACTCTGACAGGCACATTCATTCTCCTGGGCCGTGGCAGTTGCCACAGTTGGTGAAAACTGCAGGTGTGCAGGGGTGTGTGTGTGTGCCTGTGTGCAAGCACACACAAAGGTCGGCATTGCAGCCCACCAGGAAAGACACAGTCAGCAGGTTCCGATCTCGGCCATCCTGCTGGGCCACACTGTAGGTTCCTAGGCCTCCCTCCAGGCTTCCTTAGCCTAACCTGCCTGTCCTTGCAGGTAAGTGTAAGTGAAGAAAGAGCTGATAGGAAAGTGTTGGGGTTTGGACATGGAGTCCCTGATCCTGGAGGCTGGCCTAGTGACTGGAGGCTGGGACCCCAAGAGGCCGTGGCCCGGGAAAAATTGAAGTTGGAGGAAGAGAAGAAGAAGAAAGTAAGTGCTTTGGGATGGGGTTGGGGCAGTGTGGGTGGGTATTTATGAGCAGCAAGGGCCTAGAGCCCATGACCACTGTCACACAGCCATAATGGCTGGATGCTTCTTCAAGGCGGGATTAGTCTAGCCAGGAGCCTGCACTGAGACCCTACCTAGTGACTGATGCCTCGCTTGGGCATGTCTTCTGCCCTAGCTGGAAAGATTTAACAGCTCCAGACTGACTCTGGACAATATGAGAGACTTGGAAAACTTGGTTCAAAGACGAAGAAAAAAGCGACTGAGACACAAAGTTGCCCCCAGGG